ATCCTAATTCTCCAAGTATATCTTCTAAAAGATGAATTGAATAAATAATTCTATTTCGTTTTAATCTTTCACTTGCTGTTGTTTCTTTAATATCATTCTTTCTATCTTCATTATACATACTTTTAATCATATTTTCAATGACTTCCCAAAATAATATTGTATCTGTTTCTTCAAATTCAATAAATTCAATACAAAGAAATGGCTTTGTCACTGTTGCTTTAACTGTTCTTCTTTTGAGTATAATTTTAGCATATCTATTAATTAATCCAATGAATATTGATTGAAGAGATACTTGATAATCAATTTTATCTTTGTAGTTCTTGAAATATGCTTTTTCTTTATGTTGGCTCATTCCTTTCTCAAAAAATTATTCTACTTCTTTTGAAAATTACTTTTTTATTCCTTTCTATTTTCAAAATTTTCAACCAAAAAACTTAACTTCTCTTTTATTTTCTCTTTTATTCTTTTCTTCTCTTTAACGGTAGAACATATTCATATGCTTCTTCATTTCTTCAAAATATTTCTCATATCGTTTTAATTCCATTTCTACTCTCATCTCCCCTATTATTTCTACTTTCCCATCTTGATATATTTCAATGTTTACTATTCCATTTCTATTAACCTGACATTTAACTGTCATTTCAATTTTTGAATTATTTTCTGGTATTCCTTTAATAGTTACATGATCAACAACCTTAAAAACCATAGTAATGTATAGTCAAATATGCTCTTTTTATTATAAATTTTTTGTCTTAAATATTATAAGAAACTCATGTTGTTATGAATTTGACTGTTTTTTGTTTTGTGAGTCTTTTATCATGACATTAGGTTCAGCTCTATTGAAAGGATAAAAATCAATATTACATAATCATATAAAATCTCCAAAAATAAAACGGATATTTTTATAATAATTTTAGGCTGGTTAAAACATAAAATTTATTGTTTGTGAATATATTTCCAATGGATAGTTATAGAGTCATGAAAGAAGAAGTATTGTGAAGTATTTTTTGTTCTATTAACTTAAAAATATATCTAATTATCTTACATTGAAGAATATATAATAATTGTTTATGAATGAAATAAATATAGCTATTATAATGGTTTTAAATATAACCAATAACGTTTAAAGTATAATTAATTGGATTGTTTATGTGATGAAACAATTTTTTATTATTTTTAGAATTATTTTATTGTAAAAAAACTAAAGCAGAATATTTGATATTCTTCTTTCATTAGAATCATGAAAATTATAGAAATTAACTTTAAGTTTTTACTTCTTATTTATATCTAACTTTTTCAAAAGAATGAAATAATATTAAAAATAAATATAGATATAGACGTGTTAAATTTTTAAAGGATTTTTATTCCATCACAGTTAGTTTGTAAGAATTCCATGACATGAGTTATAACAATGAAAAATAACTAATTATTGTTATGGTTATAAAAATAAAACGAGTTAAAAATATTCAATCCTATTTTTATAGAACAAATTAATTTATCAGATTAACAAAGTTAATGACTTATTTTATAAAGCTTTACACTTAAAAATATTAACATTGTTAAATACTCATAATAAACAAAGTCTAGGATTTAAAACTAAATAAAACATATTTTATTGTCAATTTTATCAACCAAAATCGTTTTATCATACAATTGATGTAAGGTGTAATAGGATATGACTTTATTTCCTTAAGACACTGTGTATTTGTTTATTTATAACACAAATATTTATTCATTTAAAGATTTTCACTTCATTTTCAAAGGAAAAAATTTAGTGATGAATGATGGGATGTTTATTATTAGCTCAAACAAGAGAGTATAATACATTCAAAAAAAAAACAAATAAAAAAACAAAGAAAAATAATCTTTAAGAAAATAATTTATAATATTTTAATAATTATGATTGACTCTTGTATTAACAAAATACTAAAAACAATACAAACTCAAAAAATAAAGTAGGATATTAGTTAAAAAATAAAACAAAGGAATAAAATCCAAACTAATAATATAAAAATAAATAACACAAAACAATAAAAACTATTTCATTGAAACTTACAATTGATTGGATTTTGATGTTTTTTACTTGTCTTTTGAGTTTTACAATCAAGAGATTTCATCACCGCAATATCACGAGGTAATATTTGTTGAACGAAACTCAAATCTACATTCTTTTCAAAGTGTTTACAATGTGAGGCAATAATTGAATCCATAGTTCTTGGACTCATAAAGACATTTAACCAATAGAAGCCTATATGATAATGTTCATTTGGGGTAAATACTTTTGCCATCTCTAAAAAATAATTTTCTTTTTTATCTTCACCACAATTTATTCTAACGAGGAATGAACGATAATGGAAAGGAGAAGGAGTTGCTTGTACTTGTCTTTCAACAACATCAGCAGGATTAGTTCTCTGTAAAGGAAGAGTAGTATAAATAACTTGTTGAGAATCAACAAAAGAATTTTGACCTTCTGGACCTATAATTAGTTGACGTTTAAGTAAAGCATTTAAAATTATTTTAGCATGCATCCTATTAACTACATTTGTTTTATTGCACATCCAAGTAGCAAGAGTTGTACCACTAACTTTTCCATGAATATCTTTAATCATTGTTTGAAGTACTTTGTCGATATTAAAATAATCAATTTCATTTCTTTTAACATCAATTTTATTAAATATAATTGGAAACCATTCAACCATATTATCACTTTGAGAAATGATAAATTCATAATATTTAAAAAATGCAAATAATTGTTCTTCTTCACTTTCTTTTGAAGAGACATGAAATATTTGAGAATGAAATTTATCAAGACTAACATCATCAACAGTAAAACTATCAAAATTGTCATATACTTTCCAATTCATTCCTCTTAATGGTTGTAAATTAATAGTTCTAGTTGTTTTATTATATTTTGTAATATCAAATTCAGGAGATATTGGTGGTGTAGTAATTGCAATAAAAGAATAATGATAAGGAAGTAATGAAATTGATGAATATACTTTTTGTTGAATTTTAACTTCAACACCATTTTCTTTTAACTGAAGTAAATGAATAGCATCTGGAGAATAAAGTGTAACACTATTTTCTGAAGTAGTATTAGGATTAAATTGAAATCCTAATGAAACTCTATTTCCAATCATAATATTAAATAATTGTTTAGGAATAACATTATTTGATGGTACAACAACGTAATTTATTTCTTCTATTTTTTTAAATAACTTTGTTGGAGTTTCAGAAATATACTTTGAAGGGAATTGCAGTTTAATAAGATTATCCCATGGGTCATTTCGAGGACAATTTAATGATTCTGAGATACAATAAGCTAAACTATGTTCTTTTGGAGTGATATTAATGTGTAAAGGAGAAACTCCATTTAATGGAAGAAGACTTTGTTTTATTTGACAAATATCAGTAGAAGTTTCTTGGTCAATAGGAACAAGATAGTCCTGTTTAACAATACACTTTCTTTTAATTAATGGAACAAAAAAATACTCTGCATTTTTATCAAAATTTTTAGTAAGACAATTATGGCAGTTATGAGACCTACATAGCTTAAATGCATCAAATGTAAAACTTTGATAATAACGGATTTTAATCCAACACGGAATATAATAATTTCTTTCTTCTGCTTCTACATCATTTAAAAGTATAAGTGGAGTTGTATAAAGTGGTTTAGTTGCTAACGAAACCATTTGAATATTCGCATAATTTTTTAATACGATTCTTTTACATAATGACTTTACTAATGAATTACATTTAATTAGTCCTGGACCTGGAGTAATGATTAACATAGTCTCACTTCCTCCTCCTCTAAAATGAGATCCAAAATGATGTAATACTGTAATAATTGATTCTAATAAATTTGAATTCTTTGAAGAACATAAGATAGCTTCATTTTCAATACTTGTCATTTTCTTCCATTGACTAAAGTATTGTTTTAAACGAGTATTTAATAATGTTAATGGAAATGAATCTGCAAATGAAATTGTATGAATAAAGTCAGTGTCTTTTGGTTTACTTAAACTTGAAGGGGAAAGACATCTAAATGTTGGTGTAGCTGATGTAGGGCGAAAATTAGGTTGTACCCTTGAAAATAAAGAGATAACAATTGTGTGTTTTGCATGAACTTCTCTAAAATGTTGATATAATTCTGTTAGAAAATCTAAACATTTATCAAAATACATCTCTCCATCTGGATGATGCTCCCACATTTCTGAAGACATGTCTATCATAATAAATATTGTTCCGCTCGTTGTATAGGTCGTCATATCTATTCCTCTTCAACAACAGTCAACTTTTTTTAAGTTTTTCTTTTTTTTTCTTATTTCATTAAAATAGTATAATTAAGTTAATAACTTAATTATAAAATAGTAATTTAATAAAGAGAGGATAAAATAAAAATGTTCTGAAATGATTACTCAGGTATCACTTGTGTTGAAATGAATGGAAAAGATTGAAAAAAATGAAAAGTAAAAAAGGTCAAACATATACTTAATTAAACTTATGAACAATGAAATATTTCATCAATCAAATGATAATTTTGAAGAGAGTTCTGTTAACGAAAGAGATGGAATAATTCCATTATTTTCTGATGTATTGACACGAGTTACTCTAAATTTTCCATTACCAGTAGAATAAGAATTAAGGTTATAATAATCAGCAATAGCATGGCATAAGAGACGTTCATAATTATTTTCTAATTTAAATTCTAAAATATCAGAATCTTTATTTTTAATATAATTAAGTATAAGTTTGTCAATTGTTTGGACAAAAGAATTTTGGGATAAAACTACTTGTTGAACCTTTGTTGGTATTCTTCTAATAGCTAAAATAACTTCTTTTGGTAATTTAGATGGAAGAGCTTTATAAACATTATTATTAATTGAATATAACTTAAGTTCACATTGTTCTGGTTCATCTTTAGGAATACTTTCTTCTATTCTAATTAACTCTAATGATGGATCAATACCATTTTCAAGGCATTGACTTAAAAAATTACCAAATGGAGAATAAACAGGCATGTCTTGTTGAAAAGCAATGACTGATATTTCTTTACAATGAAGATAAGAGTCAATCATCCCATTTTCATCCATAATATTTCTGAAAAGTTCCTGTTTTACAGAGCTTGTCATATTTTACTTTGTTTGTTTTTCAGTTTTCCTTTTATTTTATGCTTGTTTTAATTATAGAATAAAAACACCATCATCAAGACTCAAGAATTTCAAAAATATAAAATTGTTATATTTAACACAATTAATAAACAAAAACAAATCATTTAAAAAAATCTTAAAAGTCTTATAAAAAAAGAAATGTCAAATGAAGCACATACTCTCGTTACTCCTGAAGGGAATGTTATAGATATTCAAGGAGCCAGTCAAGAAAATGGAGCTAATGCAATTATTTACCCAAGGCATGGAGGAGAAAATCAATTATTCTTTATTGATAAACAAATTGGATGGATTATTTCTGTGTTTTCTAGAAAGGCATTAACTGTTAAAGAAAATATGCATGACATTGTTCAATCAGACTATTGTAGTCTTTCTCGTCAACAATGGATATTTGAAGATAACCCTGATGGAACAACAATTATTCGTTGTTATGAAAATCCAGAGTTAGTTCTTTCTGTTACAGGGAATATAGATAAAGTTTGTTTAAGTCCATTTACAAGAGAAGCTCATCAATTGTGGAGAATTGAATAAAAAAAAAAATAACAATTTTTATTATTTTTTACATTCTTTTTTTATTAAATTTAAGTTTCATTTTATTAAAAATTAATTAAATAAGAAGTATTAGCTATTGATAACAAAGAAGGTCCATATTCAATCCTTTTAAAATTACAAGCCATTGTTTTATAAAATACTGTCATTAACATTGATGAATAAACTTGAATAAAGTCTTCATTTTTAACACGTAAAATACCTTTCATAACTGATTTTGTTTCTTCATAATCAATTAATTCTATTGAACATTTATGTTCATTACCAAATGATAGAGTGTATGATTCATAAATAATTCCTAATATTCCTAAATGTCCAATTTCTTCTAAACATTGATGTTCACTATTTATGAGTTAAACTTATTAATAAATTAAAAAAAAAATTAATTGAGTTATTTCAAACAAATCAAATGAAATATATTGCATGAAATGAAATGAGAAATAAAATAATTAGTTTCATAAATTTTAATTTTCATTTTTTTTTTACTTAAATAAAGTAATAAAAAAAAGATAAATAACAAATATGTCAGTTTTTTTATTATTAATAATCATTCCTATTTGAATTATTTTGTTTGTTTTTGTTTAATACCTACTGAAAAACTTCTTTGTTTTGTTGGTGCATCTTCACCACTGATAATAAATTGTGGCAATTTCATTATATTTTTATTTGGACTTGAAGAACTAAATGACCTTCTTATTTCTGCTTGTTTATCAAATGAAGATGATATATCATCAGGGAGTTGTTCAGATCCTTGATTAATAGATAATTGAATTTGTAAAGTACTTATTTCATTTAATTTTTTAATGGTTTTTTGGTCTAACCTAACTGCTTTTCTACTAGAAAATCTTCTTGAAGACAATTCTTTAATAGAAGAATTAATTTCGATACTTGGAACTTTTGGTACTTGTTCTAATTTTTTTTGATGAATTTGTTGAAAAGGTTCTGATGATTGAGATAATGATATGATATTACTAATATAATCAGGAACTTCTGGTAATGATTGACGATATTTTTCTTTTAATTTCATTCTTTCACTTTTATTACATTTTGGCTCTTTTTCTTTACTTTTTTCTTCTTTATCAAAAGAAAGGTTATTTTCAAATAAGTCTGTTTCAATTTGAACAACTTCAATTGGAATCTCTGGAAGGTCATTTTTATCAACATCTTCTTCAAGATATGTCTTAGACTCATTACTTTTCTTTAAATCAGGTATTTCAGCTGATTTTGAAGTTAAAGGAATACTGCACTCTGAATGATTAGATGTTTGATTCAATCTTTCTTTCTTAATTTCTTCTGCTAATTTTTTACTAATTTCTGGAGAAAATCCAAATGAATCAATGTCTATCTGATCCATTGATAATATATTTTCAACACTTAAGTATCCAAATCCAATGAATTGTTCAGTTAATTGTTCTAATCCAATTCGTTTTAAAAACTTTCTAACTGTTTCAATAGGATCAACAAATAATTCAGCTGGTTTTCTTTTTTGTAATTCATTTCCATTAAATACGTCTTTGTATTCAGGAAATAAAGTGATAATAAATTTATTTAATCGATAACACATTTCGTCTAATTTTTCATCTTCAAAATCTAAACTATCTGATTTTAAAAAATGAATTCCTCTAGTAAATTGAAAAGAAGAAGTTAGTTTTAATAATTCTTCTCTATTATTACAAGCTGTTGAAGAAATAAAAATAATTGGAGCGGTAATTTTTTTAACTTGTTGAAGAGTAACACAAGAAAAGCATAATGAATTTTTTTCTACTTGGGCGTTCTATTTATGTAATTGTTAATTATTCTATTATTATTTTATTAAATTCATTTAAAAAAGATTGTAATTTTGTAACAAACAATTAATATAATACCTGCTAATCTTACTATTCCTCTCTCATTTTCAGGTTTTATTGATTTTTGAATTTTATGTGCAAGATAAAGAGTTGGTCCACATCCTGCTCCTTTTCCATAAAGAACAATACGACTAGGAGATTGATGTAATTGTTTAGTAATAAATTTCCAAACATATTCAATATGATTTGCTGTTTTTTCATCTGAATAATGAGAACCTTTAGTATATCCTGGATATTCCCATGCAACAATATTTGCTTTAAATATTTCTGCTAATACTGATAACCAATCTTTAATACTTGCAAGTGTTTCATTTGAATCATGATTATATAAAATTGTAATTGGTTGTAATCTATTTATTAATGTTATTTTTTATTTGTTTATTTTAAATTGAAATTAAACCAAACATTGTTGTTTTAGTTTGAACATATAATATTGGTATATTCTTTTGATTTATTTTTTGAAGTTCTGGCATTTTCGTCTCTTTTGTTAAAAGAACACTACTACGTTTTTGTTTGGCTCCTTCTTTTAGTGAAATACAATTGTTTGGTGTTTGTTGCATCAATTATTATAAAACTGAAATTCAAAACTTTTTTTTTTATTTAAAAAAAAACTAAAAATTGTTTTTTTTAATAATTCTATAAATAGTTTTGTATTATTTTTTTTTTAATATATTTTTTAATTTTCTTCTTTATTAAACAATGCTTTTCTTCTCTGTGGTTTTTCAAATTCATAGTAACTATACTTCTTTGTATGATTCTTCTGTCTTTACTTTAAAAATATTAAAATATCTTTAACTTCAATAGAAATTATTTAGTTTATTAAAAAAAAAGTATTTGAAAAATAACTAAAAGAATGGTTTATTTTTAAAAAGATTATATTATTTAGTTGTTTATCTAATAATCCACTCAAAACATAATTTTCATTTCAAATATTGTTAAAAATCATAATTATTTTAACCCTTTACTTTCTTTTTCAATTCAAAAGAATTCTACAGTTGTATTAAATACGACTGTTGACATATCTGATACAATAAAACTTAATCTAAAAGTATTACTAATAAAAAAACAATGATTTGTGTTAGTAACTATTCATAGAATATACTTATTTGATTTTTATAACTTCTATAATTATTTTTAATAGTATTTAAAAAATTCTTATTACTTATACTTCTTTAAAAAAAAATAATTCATAGTTTTTAAATTATTTAAAATAATTATCTATTTATTTGAAAAGAATCAAAATTTATTAATTACTTAAAATTTTATGTTTCGTTATTGTAATATAATATAAATCACAGAAATAATCCTTAAAGTTAATTAATTTTGTTAACTATTTTATAAAATAAATCCAAAAATAAAAAAAATAAAAAAGTTATTTCTAATGATGAAATAATAGAGATTGTATCACCAAACAAAGAGATAAAAAATTGAAATATAACTTATTTTCTTTTTTTCAATTTTTTTTTTTAGTTTTTTTATAATAACAAAATAGAATTTTTACTAATATTTTATAACTTCTAATTGTTTTTGGTTAGACTAAAAATAAAAGAAACTAATTGATCTTATAAATTTGAAAATGGCTAAAAACATATTAGAATGTTCAGATAGAGTTGTAAAAACAGTTGAACCAATGACTGTTTGTTATTTTATAACGTCAAAAAAAATTTATACAAAAAAACAAAAACTCAGAGGGATAGGACCAGTTATTGTTATATGACCAATTTGTTGATAGTCAAGGAAATATTGATATCAAAGTCCTTATAGGACATTTAAAGAAAGAAGGAAGATTACATCCAAATGCACTAATAAGAATTCTAAAACGAATACAAAATGTACTAAGAAAAGAAATGAATATTATTAGAATTAATGGACCAACAGCAATATTTGGAGATATTCATGGACAGTTTTATGATTTATGTAATATCTTTCAAGATTTTGAAAGTTCTGATGAAAGTCTATTGTTTTTAGGTGATTATGTTGATAGAGGATGTTTTGGTACTGAGGTATGTACTTTTTTATTTTGTCTAAAACTTCAATATCCTAATCGAGTTCATTTATTAAGAGGAAATCACGAATGTAGATTAATGACAACATACTTTAATTTTAGACAAGAATGTTTATGGAAATACACTGCTCAAATTTATGATGAATTTATGAACACATTTGATTGTCTTCCATTATGTGGAATAGTTAATTCAAACTTAGGATCATTCTTTTGTGTTCATGGAGGTATTTCTCCTTCACTTCAAAAAATAAATGATATTAATTATATTGATAGATTTCAAGAACCACCTGAAGATGGATTATTTTGCGATTTATTATGGTCTGATCCTATGGATGATTCAATGTATGAAGTTCTTTCTCAAGAAGATAAACTTAATTTTCAAAAAGAAATGTATGAATTTAATTCAGTAAGAGGATGTAGCTACTGTTATGGATTTGCTGCAGTAAGACGATTTCTTATTAAAAATGACCTTGTTTGTATTGTTAGAGGACATGAAGTTCAAAGAAATGGATGTAAAATGAATTTTGAAGGATGTTCAACTTCACCAATTGCAATTACTATAT